CAGCTGATGGTGTGTGTGTGTGTGTGTGTGTGTGTGTGTGTGTGTGTGTGTCTGGAGAGGGGTGCTTCTGGCCTAGGCTACCAAAGGCAAGGGAGGGTAATACAGGCTGGCAGCAGCAGTTTTGTCTGTCTGTGGAAACTTCCTAGCCCGCTCTGGGCTGGGATGAGGGCAGGGGCCTGGACTCAGGGGATAGGGAAGCTGGTACTTCGTTATTCCTGGGCTCACCAGGCCTTTGTGTCTCCCCACAGCCCAGCCAGGTGGAGGATGCCCTGTCTGGGGAGGAGGGGGAGGAGGAGGAGACCGAAAAGGAGAAGGAAGCTCCAGCCTCAGTCACAGCTCCTGCTTTTGAAGATCCCACGGAAACCCACCTTGCAGAAGCCAGCCAGGTGCTGGGTGCCTCAGAGATTAAGCAGGTTCGGCCACTACCTGTGATCCAAGGACTTCAGCCCTGAGCTTAAGGGACCCACCCTCCTGCTCTACCCTATCCAGGCTAAGGGCATCCAGAGTCACTCCGGTTCAGTCTCTGGCTCACCATGTTACTGGGGAAATCATTTCTTCACTCGGCCAGGAGGTTACGGAGATAATGAAGGAAGAGAGCCAGTCTTTGGGAACTGAAGCTGAGGCTAGGCAGAGAATGGGGAGAAGGAGAGTGGGGGAGCAGCATCACATTGATTCTCCAGCCTCTAGGAACCAGGGTGACCAAGGGAAGAGGGTCCTAAAGTAGGCGTGGCTTTGAATTCTGCCTCTGCCATTTACTCCCTACGTGAGCTTTGGGCAGGTTGCTTCACCTCTCAAAGTAAAGTGTCCTCACCTGTAAAATGGGAACAATAAGCCTTATCTCCAAAGGCCATCGTGAATAGTCACAGAAGTGCCCTGGACACAGGAAACCACAATCCTCTGAAAAGCACCACGCCTGTGTGAGTGGTGGCGATTCAACTCTAGTCTTTTTGGGATCCCCCCCACCCCACCGCCGGAGCCCAAGGTTCAAACAGGAGAAAGGTGGGAGGGGGAGGAGTCCCCTGCTCACTTCCAGTCCTGTCCCAGCTCAGCCTCCACCTGCCTCGGAGAGTCACTGGACACTCTTGGCGTCTGGCCTTCTGCACGGCGAGGGACGGCTTCAGCCTGCGGAACCTATACCGGCAGATGGAAGGCCACGGTGGGCCGGTGCTGCTGGCACTGAGGGACCAGGATGGGCAGGTGAGCGGGCTGGGCCAAGGCCCCCAACCTGAGGTTCAGGGGCTCCCAACCACCATTGGACTGCCTCAGGGATGAGAGGGAAGAGGTGACCGATCAATTTATCGATAATGGACACTGGTGATGGCACTGACGGCTACCCTGCTCAGTGCCCTCCCCTGACTCATCATTTATAGCCCTCCTCCATCCCTTCTGCACGGGTGTAGTCAGCGCTTTGTGTCTGGTGAGGCACAGCCTCTCCCCTGTCGGTTTCCCTGTGGTGGTTTGGGGGTGCCTGTGATGCTGGAAGCTATTGCAGGTACCAGCAGGGTCCCCTGTGGTGAACAGGCTGGAGCAGAGTGTCCAGACTAAGAACAGACTACAAAGGAGGTAGACTTTCTTCTGAGAAATTAGCCGCTGAAAACCTGGGGGAAAGCAGTGGAACACTGTCAGGTAGAGGGCTGGAAAATGAACCCCTCAGGCAGGAAGGCTCTCAAACTCGGACCAGGGAAGGAGCTGCCCCCTCAAAGTGGAGTCAACCTCAATGATGTGGACAGAGTCACGCTGTCAGAGACCAGCTAATGGGACCTGGCTCACAATCAGGAGAAACAGTTATGAATATCCACTCATCGTTGGAATGAGCAGTGTACAAATTATGAATCTAGGAAAATTGGTGGACTGCATAAAGATCAATAGCCTAGGCATTAGCTGAACTGGACTGGAATTGGCCAGGTTGACTTAGACACTCATTTGGTTTATCATGCCCGAATGACTCATTCAAGAGGCATAACACTGCAGCCATTGTCACAAAGAACATTTCCAGATCTGTCTCGAGATACAATGCTGTTTGTGACGGAATAATGTCTATATGCCTATAAGGAATCCCACTTCATACAACTATTATTCAAATTTACACACCCACCACTAAAGCCAGTCTTGAAGAAATTGAATAATTCTACCAATGCCTTTAGTCTGAAGTTGATCAAACTTGCAATCCAGATGCATTGGCATTAAAAGACTTTTTTAATTAAAAAAAAAAGATGCATTGGCAATTGGAATGAGAAAGTTGGTGACGACCAGCAGTTGTAAAATATGGCATCGGTGACAATCTCTCTTGGAAGATGTGCCGCTACGATGCTCCTTAGAGGCACGTGGGCGCATTGTCAGCAGAGTCCCTCGCAGAGAACATCAGGCTGGGTAGAGGGTCTGTGAAGAAGAGACCATTCACAAAGTGAATTGGCACAGGGGCTGCAGCATTGGGGTCAAAACGTGACATCAATTGCAAGGATGGCACAGACCCGGGCAGTGTTGAGGCCTGTTGTGTGTAGGGCCACGTGAGTCAGAACGTGACATCCACAACATGTGGTGTGATAGAAAGCAGCTTTGGGGATGCTGTGGGTGACACACCTGGACGCTAACTACAAGGTCTGTAGTCAACCCGTGGGAGAAAGAGGAATCTCATCCAGATACTCTTAGAAACCGTTAAGGAGTAGTTCTACCATCCTGTCGGGTCCTCATGAGCTAGAATGGACTTGACAGCATTGGGTTTGGCGTGTGTTTTGGTAAATGTTGGCACAAGTGGTTTGCAATCAGTTGCTAAACTAAAGGTTGAGGTTCCAATCCATCGTTGTTTCTAAGCAGCCCAGATACTTTCCACATCCTTCACCAAGACCATCAATCAAATGCATGACGTCTTCTGTGGTCTCCTTATTCGTCGTCCAGTTTTCACATGCAGAAGAGGTGACTGAAAACACTACGGCTTGAGTCAAGTACACCTTAGTCCTCTAAGTGATCGCTCTGCTCTTGACAATCTTGTGCACATTTCCCCAATGTAAGATGTCATTTGATTTCTTGACTGCCGCTTCCATAAACATGGATTGTGGAGCAATTAAAATGAAATCCTTGACAGCTTCAGTCTTTTCTCCATTAATCAACTGATAAACGGAGTAGGGATGACAACTCAATGGAAAGAAAACTAAAGTCCCCCAACTGGGTGATGTCTTATTGGTCCAGTCTTTGGTTTTCGCCACCAGGGCTTCCAGTCTTTCTGGCTTTCCACAATCAAGTTTGTGTCCTCTGCCTTTGGCAGGTTGTTAATGAACCTTCCTCGAGGTCGTCTTTGTATATTCCAACTTCTCCAACGATTTGCTCAGCATACAGATGGAATAAGTATGGTTAAAGGCGACCACCCTGACACACACTTTCCCTGATATCTGAGCAGGCAGCATTCCCTTGTTCTGTTTGAAAGACTGGCTCTTGATCCTTGTACAGGATTTGCATGAACACAAGGAAGTGCTCTGAAATTTCCATTCTCCAAAATGTTATCCATAGTCTGGTCTGAGCCACACACTCGAATACCTTTGCATATTCAATAAAGCATAAGTAAACATCTTTCTGGTATTCTCTGCTTTCAGCCAAAATTCACCTCACATCAGCAATACTGTCCTTCATTCTTCTAATCCCAACTTGAATGTCTGGCAGCTCCCTATGGATGTACTGCTGCAACTGTTTTTGAATTATCTTCAGCAAAATTATATGTGTATGTGAAATTAATGTTGTTCTATAATTTTTTATAGTGTTCTATAATTTCAGCACTCTATTGCGTCACCTATCTTTGGAATGGGTACAAATATGGATCTCTTCTGGCTGGTTAGTCAGGTCTTCCAAATTCCTTGGCATAGACTAGGGAGTGCTTCCGGGGCTTCATCAGCTTGTTGAAGTATCCCTGCTGGTACTCTCTCAATTCCTGGAGCCGTGGTTTCCATTCATGCCTTCAGTGCAACTTAGACTTCTTCCTTCAATACCACCGGTTCTTCATCATATGCTACTTCTTGAAGTAGTTCAACATTGACTAATAGTGGCTCTGTGTATTCATTCCATATTCTTTTTTAAAAAAAACAAATCACTTTATTGGAGGCTTGTAAAGTTCTTATCACAATCCATACATCCATCTTCTGTGTCAAGCACATTTGTACATATGTTGCCATCATCCTTCTCAAGACATTTGCTTTCTGCTTGAGCCCTTGGTATCAGCTCAGTATCAGTTTCCTCCCCTCCCCGCCTCCCTCCCTGGTGAACCCTATTCCATATTCTTTCGATGCTCCCTGCATCTCTCAATACTTTGGCCATAGAACCCTTCAATATTGTAATTCAAGGTTTGAATTTTTCCTTCAGTTCTTCCAGTTTGTGAAATGCCGAGTAAGTAAATTCTTTTCTTTTGGCTTTATAACTCCAGATTTTGTACATCTCATTACAATACTTGACTCTGTCTTCTGGAACTGCCCTTTGAAACGTTCTGTCCAGCTCTTTGAGTTCTTCAGTTCTTTCACTTGCTTTAGCTACCCTACATTCAAGAGTGAGTTTAAGAGTTTATTCTAAAATTACTTTGGTCTTTTCTTTCCTGACTTTTAATGGCCTTTTGCTTTCTTGATGTATCCCACAATTTGTCAGGTCTTTGGGTATTAGTATTGAATGTGTTCTCTGTCTTCTTGAGATGTTCTAAAAATTAAGGTGGCATATACTCAAGGGCTTATCTGGGCTCTCATGGATTCATTCTCATTTTCTTCAGCTTCAACCTGAACTTGCAGATGAGCACTTGATGAGCATTTGTAGGTCGGGTCCACTGTCACATCCTGGCCTAATTTTGGCTGACAATATTGAAGTTCACCACCATCTCTTCCCATAAATATGGTCAATTTGCTTCCTTTAGATTCCATTTGGTGAGACCTCCATGTATGATGTTGAAAAAGGTGTTTGCAATGAAAAAATCATTGTTGTTAGGTACTGCCGTCCAGTCGGTTCCAACTGACAGGGAGCCTATAGAATGGAACACTGCCTGGTACTGAGCCATCCGGGCAATTGTTCTCATGTTTGAGCCTATTGTTGCAGCCACAGTGTCAAACCATCTTGTTGAGAGCCTTCCTCTTTTTCGATGTGCCTCTACTTTATCAAGCATGATGCTCTTCTCCAGGGGCTGGTCTCTCCTGACCACCTGAGACAAAGTCTAGGCCTCCTGGCCTCTAAGGAGCATTCTGGTTGTGCTTCTTCCAAAACAGACCTGCTCTTGCCAAATTCTATCATGCTATTTCCAGTTTCACTTCTATCACCAACGCCATATTTTCTAACTACTGATACCTTCCTCTCTGTTTCCAACGTTTGCATTCCAATTGATATTGCCAGCCAATAGCAATGCATCTGGATGACATGTTTGGTCAATTTTAGACTGAAGAAGTTGGTAGAATTTTTCCTTTTTTAAACAAGCATTGACAGTATTGGACTTAAAGGTATATCCTAAAATGTCTTTTTTGATCAGGAGTGTGATGCCAGGCCTCTTAACTTGTCCTTGTCAGCATGGTAAATCATGGGCTCGTCTAAGTTAACATGGCCAGTACCAGTCCACCGACACGGACTAATGCCGAGGACCCTGATCTTCATGTGTTCCATTTCACTTTTGACTAATTCCAATTTCCCCAGACTTATACATCATACATTCCATGTTCTGATTATTAATGGATGTTTGCAGCTAACCCTTCTGATTGTGAGTTGTGCCACACCAGCGAATGAAGGTACTTAAACCTTTGCTGCATCTTTATCACTAAGGTTAACTCTACTTTGGGGACGCAGTTCTTCCCCAGTCGTATTTTGAGTGGCTTCCCACTACTATTCAGAAGGTTTTCAGTGGCTAATTTTGCAGAAGTGGAATAGCTCTTCCATCTTTCTTCTCTGCTCTTGGTCTGGAAGCTCTGAAACCTGCTGGTATTTCGCCATGAGTAAGCGGTGGCATAGATTCTAGCATCACTGTGACACTCAAGCCACCAATGTTCCACAAACTGGCAGATAAGTGGTAGGACCATAGCTATTGAAAATGTTTTGTTTTTAAAGTGGGATATAAAAATACTATCTGGATAACTAGAGAACGTGGAATATGAATTAGAGACTCGATAATGTCACAGGATTACTGTTAATTTTCTTAGGCGTGTCTATCGTGTGGTGGTGATTTAGGAAGAATCCTCATTCTTGGGCACTGAACTATTTAAGGGCAAAGGATCATAATGTTTGCAATTTACTATTTTTGCCAGCAGTTTCATTGCATATGAGGGGGTACCCCCCAAAAAGAATAAACGGTAAAAAGCTCCATTGGGCAAAGCTTTCATAGTACATTTTTCCAGCTAGGCAAACAGCAACTTGCTCTGAATTAGTGCATCCAGTGGTGTCACCTGGGAAGGTTCTCTCTGGTCATAGTGAATTTTTTCATAAAAACAGTTATGCTCGAACCTCGGGTTTTTTTTTTAATAAATCATTTTATTGGGGGCTCTTACAGCTCTTATAACAACCTATATATCAATTGTATCAAACACATTTGTACATATGTTACTATCATCATTTTCAAAACATTTTCTTTCTACTTGAGCCCTTGGTATCAGCTCATCTTTTTTCCCCTTCCTCCCCCACCCTTGTGACCCCTTGATAAATAACAAATTATTATTATTTTCATAAATGACACCATCTACTGTTACCCTTCACCCATGTTTCTGTTGTTTGGCCCGAAGGGTGGGGTTAATATGCCAATCACTGCGATTAATTCCCCCCTCCCCCTTTCTGCCCCCACCTTCTCCCTACCCTCAGGGTATCGCTACCCCCATTATTGATCCCAAGGGATTTATCTGTCCTGGATTCTGTATATTGTGAGCTCTTATCTGTACCAGTAAACATGCTCTGTTCTAGTTGGATTTGTAAGGTAGAAAGAACTGGGGTCATGGTAGTGGGGGTGGAGGAAGCATTAAAGAACTAGAGGGATGTTGCATGTTTTGACGGTGCTATACTGCACCCTGGCTGGCTTGTCCCTTCTTTGGGTCGCTTCTGTGAGGGAATGTCCAATTATCTACAGGTGGGCTTTGGGTCTCGACTCTGACCCCCCTCGTGTGTATTGATATGATTGTTTTGGGTCTTCTGATGCCTGATACCTAAACCCATCAACACCTCATGATCACACAAGCTGGTGTATGTGCTTCTCCCATGTGGGTTTTGTTGCTGCCCTGCTAGAAGGCCACTTGTTTAACTTCAAGCCTTTAAGACCCCAGATACTATATTTTCTAATAGCCAGTACCATCAGCTTTCTTCGCCCCATTTGCTTATGCACCCATTTTGTCTTCAGCAATCATGTTGGGAAAGTATCACAGAATGCCAGGTCATTAGAATAAAACGTTCTTGTGTTGAGGGAGGACTTAAGTAGATACCCAATGTCCGTCTGCTACCTTGATACTTAATATATAAATATTTTTACATAGACCTATATCCCTATCATTATAAAGTAATATATTTACATATGTTCATGCCTGTATTAGACCTCTATAAATGTCTTTTGCCTTCTAGTTCTTTCTTCTATTTCCTTTTACTTTCCTCCTGACCCACTATCATGTTGAACCTTCATTTGGTTCTCAGTAATTCCCCTGAGCTACAATGCACTTGATCAAACCCCACCAGGCAACAAGAGATTTTTAGATCTCTTGTTCCCTTGTTCCTGGGTTTGTTGGGTAGCCCCTATCTTTCACCCACCTCCCCCTCTACCCTGTCCCCCTGGAAATGTTGGTCCCGTTGTTTTCTCCTTGCAATTGTTTATTTTACCTATCTTATATAGACATCAAGACAAGTTCTACATCATCACAATCAGGTTTAGATCATTTTCTTCATTCTTATACTCTATTAGCTCTCCATTTCCCCAGGCCTGCCCCGCCGTACACCCAAGGAGCCATTAATCCAGTTACCATATCTCTAGATTTACCTATTCTGGATTTCATATATAGAAAAACATTAAAAGAAAAACAAATGAATGAACAAAACTAACAAGAATAACAAAGTAAAACAGAGAAAAAACCTCAATCAAAAAGAAAGCAGAAAATATTAAAAACTAGAACAAAGTTAAATGGATCAGAGGGGGAACAAATGATGGGGTGCTAAAGTTAGACCTAGCTGCATTCACAACAGTCCACTTTGCAGTGCATTCTGCACGTTAGCAAGGCTAGTCACATCCCTGGTCCACGGTCACAGGGGATTCACCAGGAGCTTACTCCATGTGTATTCCCCCTTCCCTTTTTTTTTTTTTAAACTGAAACAACTTTAAAATGGGTCATAAGGAACATCAGATATGTGTTAGGCAGGGTTCACTAGAGAAACAAAACTATATAGGTTTATAGAGGGAGAAGGAGTGTAACAGCTAATTAGTCCACACAGTAGTACAGAGGGCCCAATTCAACTCATGTTCATGGAACAGTTAATATACTGGAAGTCCTTTGACCCATGTGGGCTGCTGGGTCCAAGATCAAGGAAGCGGACAGAGGAGTACTCTTCAGGCAAGGCAGGTAGAGTCTGCCCACAGGCAGCAAACAGCAGGGCCGGTCAGTAGCTCGGGAGCTTAGCGAAGCAGGCCCAGATGGGATATTTAACAATGCAAGGCGACAGCATCCACCAGCCTCAAGCTCAAACAACGTACACAACAGCAGCTTGGCAAAGCAGGTCTTGAGGGAGCCTCAAGCTGTAGAGACAAGACCCGTGATCCACAAATTGGCTTGGCCCACAGGTGGTGTAGCACACAGGTTGAGGGAGAGCACTAGCTAAAGCAGCAGCACGCTGGTCCAATCACTAGAGAGCACGAGACAGGAGCAGGCCTTGCAGAGCAATTTCTCTCAAACTGCGACCTGATTAATCCCAAATGTTCCTATTGGCCAGGTTGGCACAATAAACCTATCACAAGATGACATTGCATTTTGACCTATGACTGAGATACTCCCCTTTACAATGTTCTCTGTCTGATAACAGCTGTTCACATCCCTCAACTGTGATCAGAGGGGATTCATCAGAAGCTTAATCCACATGTGAACCCTGTAAATGGATTTTGATCTTCCCTGCCATCCATAGCCTTCTGGAAACCAGGTGTTCACAATTTCAACTCTGATCCCATTTTGTCCTTTAGATTTGGATTGTATTATTTACAATCCTTGGATCACACAGGCTGGTGTGCTTCTTCCTTGTGGACTTAGTTGATACCTCACTTAGATGGTTGCTTATTTCAAAACAAGCCTTTAAGATTCCAGACACTTTTGAGAAACGACGTACAAATGCGCTTTACACAATTGATGTGTGTATGGATTGGGATAACAGTTGTATGAGCCCCTAATAAAATGTTAAAAAAAAAAAAAAGATTCCAGACACATTCTTTCTGATAGCTGGGCACCATCTAGTTTCTTCACCGCACTTTGCTATAGTACCCATATCTTCAGTGATCTCTTAATGAAGGTGAGTATCAAACAGGGCCATATGATAAGAACTAATTATTCTTCAGTTAGGGCTAGAATTAAGTGCAAGCCCCAAATCCATCCATACATCCATCTATCATCTATGGTTTATATGTGTGTTCTGGTCCACCTGGACCCATCATTGTCATTTTATGTTAGAGAATATTATCAATCAATTCACCGGGGCATACTTCCATTGCAATCAAGTCAGTGCTGACTCAACTTGACCCTATAACGTAAGGTAGAAATGCCCCCGGAATTTACTTTTAAGTGGGTCAGAAAAATTTATAACAAGTGAGATAAAACAAGTATTAAACCTAGCTGAAAGGCATCTGTACCTTGCTTTTAATTTTTCTGTATGCTTGAAATTGTCATAATTAATAAATGAGGGCAAAATACTTTCCAAAACAGATACAAACTCTCAGTTTTAAATAATGAGCTCTGTACACCAGTAAAAAACAAATACTGAGTGAACAGTCTTGGAAACTCCCAGAGGCAGTTCCACCCTGTCCTAGAGGGTCACCGGTCAACCTCAACTCCATGGCAGTGAGGTTGGTTTGTCTTTGCCCAGGCTTCCCAGGTAGGGTCCCAGGAGGCTAAGGTCACACACCAAGTCAAGAGTGTGGAGGTTGCCTGAGCAACGTTCCAGCTCCCTTTGACCGCAGACCCGAGCTCTTCTGTTTTCCAGATGTTCGGGGCCTTCTCCTCCTCGGCTCTCCGACTGAGCAAAGGCTTCTACGGCACCGGCGAGATGTTCCTCTTCTCCTTCTCCCCAGAGCTGAAGGTAACTGGACGAGAATGGAGCCCATGGTAGGACGATGCTCCAGGGCTCCCAGGGGCCCCAGCCTCATCCACCCCCCTCCCACGCTGGACTGCCTGGCATCCTGCTATCTTTCACAGAGGGCATGAAGCAGGGTCTGCCCTGGGCATCCTCACTCATAAAGAAAGAAAAAAAGAAAGAAAGAACAGGTGCGGGGTGGTGGTGCTCAGGGGAGTGAGTGGTATTGCTTACCTGACACAAGCTATAAGGACAAAGGGCACAGAATGGTAAACCTAAGGGACTGATGGTGAGAACAGGAACCAGCCTAGGCCTGCTGTCTTTGGTATTTGAATGGCACCTGGGCTGAAATCAGTAGCTTAGCGTGAGCTGGATCAGGGGTGTGAAGGCTCCCGGGGAGAGCAGGTCTGTCTGCTGAATAGAACAGTCCTCTCAGGAGGAGGAAGGAAGCTCAGCAGAGAAACAGAAGAACAGGGAGGCAGTGGACTCAGAGGTCATGGCTCGGAAGACAAGCCCGTAGCTGTGGTTGGATGCTTCTCTCCAGCGACGCTTGGCTCCGTAGGGGCAAGCCTGGTGAAAGGGCATGAGAGGGTCGTCTCAGACCGTGGTTTTGCCAAGCTGGATTCACAGAAGGGGAGGGAGTTACGGTCCTGGTAAGGGAGTGAAAATACAACATAGACCACGGAACTTAGACTTGCCAAGGAGGGCGGGGAAGGCAGAGGGACTTGGAGGCTAATGAGACGAAGGTGGGCTCAGCGGATGGGAGGTCTCCTGGAGGGGAAAGTGTTCCGTGGCAAAGTTCAGTAGTGTGTTGGAAGACAGAGGGAGGGGCATTGGAAATCGTCTGGGGAGGGGGTTGCCATCACTGAGGACAAGCTCCAGGCCATGACCCTGGGAGGCAGGGTCAGCATCACTGGCCATGCGAGGACAAGGAGCGGAGCGGGGCATGAACTCTCTCCTCCAAGTGTTCACAATCAGTGACACACACCATCTGAATGCGTGTGAGGGCGGGGATGGAATGCTCCATGGTTGAATGAGGCTTGAGAGTAATGAATGCCACTGACAATCGACAAGTCTGGGGGGAGGGAAAAACAAAACACACACACGTCCACCCAAGCACTGCCTTGAGTGCATCCAAAAGCCAAAAGAAATCTGCCCTGTGCTCCTGCGGGGGGTGGAAATGGAGTGGGTAAGTAAGAAGAGATTAGAGTCTCCTCCCTGCGGTGACCTGCAAATTCGCGGTGAATAAGACTTGCCCTGAGGGTGAAGATGAAAGCGGTGCTTGATTAGCCCCGAGCAAGTCCCCTGCTCTCCTGTAGCGAGGCTTTAAGAGGTCCTGAATGGGTCTATGCAAACCCGGAGCTTCCATAGTGGGTGGATTAGGAACAGCGTGGAACTGCTCCCTAGGGTTTCTGGTGCTATAAGCTTTACAGGGGTCTTTGTTTTCCTCACGGAGCCATTGCTGGGAGTGGAGTGCGCGGTCACTACACCACCAAGGCTCCCTAAGACAATGAAAAGTTGGGTGGGTGTTGGTAATCCAGAGCGCAAGACTGATTAATAACACAGGGGTGACTGGGAGATGATGAGAGGAGGTGACAGGGCAAAGTGTGGCTGGTCAAATCAGATAGCATGAGCTTCTAAGGAGGTAGGATTTTTGAGGGAGGAGGAATAGAAGTAGCTCCCAACATCTCTCATGCAAACGTTTTTCCACCTCTGGGCTGTTTAGTGAATAAAGCTACTAAGTATTAAGTCAGCGGTTCTCAACCTGTGCCGCGACCCCTTTGGGGAGGGTCGAATGACCCTTTCATGGGGGTCGCCTAAGACCATTGGAAAGCACATAAATATTTCACAATATAAAATTACATATTGTTTTGTGATGAATCACTATGCTTTAATGGTGTTCAATTGGTAACAATGAAAATACATCCTGCCTCTCAGATATTTACATGACGATTCATAACAGTAGCAAAATGAACAGGGATGAAGTAGCAATGACAGTAATGTTATGGTTGGGAGTCACCACAACATGAGGAACTGTAAGGAAGGGCCGTGGCATCAGGAAGGTGGAGAACCACTACATTAAGTGGTTGGCCTGGAGCCTACTGCTTCTGTGAAACAATCATCGCTTCTTTGCTTGGGGGACAGCGGATTTTTGCTAAAGGTGATGTGACATTTTAGAAATAGTGTTGATGGTTGTACAGCACGACGGACCCAGTGACTGTCACTGAATTGCCCAAACAGAAAAGGCAAACGAGCTTCATCCGCAGGTGTCTGTATATATTTACCACAGCCAGCTAGCTGCCTGCCAGGAGCTGCTGTGATCATTTGCAAAGTAGTCCGTGTAAGCATTACAAAAGCCCCATTGGGTACTTCCTAGGTGTTAGATTCCTCTCCATCTTCCAGAGGAGGAGACAGTCCCAGAGAATTCGGCTGAGTAACTTGCTGAAGCCAGTGATGAGGGTGAGAGGTGGTATAGGTCGTCTAGGCCCTTAGCCACAGAAGGACACCACCTCTCTGAAATACAGAGCTTCCCTGCCTTGAGATGCTCCCAGGCTGGGGGAGTGGGCGATGAGCCCTGTGAAAGATCACAGAGGGATCTAGAAGCCTCAGAAGGGGTATCCATACTGGATGGAGGTTAGGAGGCCATGGGAGACTTCCTGGAGGAGCAGGTTCTTGTGCTGTCCTCACGGACAAATAGGTGAGCACCAGGTGATAAAGGGCACACAGAGGCGTCTTCCTACTGCGCAGGCACAGAAGTTGGAGAGAACAGGCACCTGGAGGAAGGCCAGGTAGGGCGTGGAGAGGTGAGGATCAGCGTGTGAGAGAGGGTATGTCCTTTTGCGTTGGGACCACGTGCCCGTGAGAAGCATCTCTGTTCAATGGGTGAAGAATGAGTTCCAAGGCCCTTGATTTGCATTTAGAGACCTCCTCTCTAATTGACATGAACCCGCAGACCAAGGAAGCTACTGATCACCCCCAAGTAAGTGTACGGCCATCTGTTCTCATAAGGAGGATATCACAGGCGTCCTGGATTCCTTTGTTGATAGGAAAACACACCATCACTGTTACATCGCCTCCAGGAGCCAGCCTGATAATCCTATCAGGAGATAGAGACTCAAAATCTAAACGCGCGACAGCTGCAGTCAATCCAGACTCACAGCGACCCCACAGGATGGAACAGAACGGCCTCTGTGGGTTTCCAAGGAGTAGAAAGCCTCACCTTTCTCCCTCACGGGCCTGCTGGTTTCCCACTGTTGGTTATGCTAGGAGCTCAAGTGTCAAACCCTGTGTCACCAGGGCTCCTGAGGAAGCAGGAGAGGAGTCCTTCACGGTGAATCACTGCTGGGGACTAGTCATCACCACCGACTTCCTCCGTTCACCAGCCCCGAGTTCTCAACAACCCGCTGCAGACTCCACTGCAACTTCCTCCTGGAACGTGCACTGAAGGGTCCTGGGGCTCCAGTCTCCTCTCTAAGCACCCTCGCTTCTCCAGGCCACCCGTGTGCTGATGTTTCTGAACTGCTGCTCAGCGTCTCCACGTGGGTCTCAGACCAAACATCCGAACGGAGCGCCTGGTGTGCCTCTGCAAAACCTGCTCCTCCCGCCTGGCGCTGCCTGCCTTCCACGACCCTAATGCTGAGACCCAACATCTTGGGAGTACTCCTGCACGGAATGTCGCAGCTGTCACATCTGAATCGTCAGCCAACCCTGCGGCCCATGCCTTCTCTCCCCTTCTATCTCTGCCACCCTCATTCAAGCCACCACCATTCCTAGCCGTGTCCTTGCTACAGCCTCCTAACAGATCCTCCTGCCTCGGCCCTCAGTCCTCCACTGCAGCCGCACTGAGCTTTTCAAAGGGGAACGCTGATCACACCGCTGCTCTGCCCCACACTGTCCTTTCTCACTCAGAGAAAAGACAAAGTTCTCACAATGACCTGTAAGTCCCAGTCCCCTCGGTCCCCTCTCTGATGTCGTATCTTGCTACTTTCCCCTTTACCTCATTTTGTTTCAGCCACCTTGGCCTCCTGGCTGGTCCTCAAACATGTTCCTACCACAGGACATTTGCACTCACTGGTCTACTTAGCATGTCCTTCCACGGGGTTCAAGATGCTGTCCAAATGCTACTTGCCATCTCAGTGAGACCTTCCTGATGACCAGATTTAAAATGACAATATCCCACACTCTGGAAATCCTCTTGCCTCTCTCTGCTTCATTTTTCTCCTTGGCATTTATCATCACTGGAGTCCTGGTGACGTAGTGGTTATGAATTGGGCTGCAATCGGCAAGGTCAGCAGTTTGAAACCACCCGCCACTCCACAGGAGTAAGATGGGCCTTTCTATTCCTGTCAAAAGTTCCATCTCAGAAACCTACGGTGCAGGTCTACCCTGTCCTACAGAGGCGCTACGAGCCGGCATCGGCTTCGATTCAACAGCAGTGAGTGAGTTTAAAACCCCCAAACAGAGCTGTTCCCGTGGAGTAGATTCTGACTCACAGCAATCCCATGTCACCGAGTCAAACTGTCCAGTAGGGTTACTTGTTATTGGAAATGTACAGGGGAAACATACATCAATCCAACCATTTCTACACCTTTATAATTCAGTGACATTGATGCTGTTCTTCCAGTTGTGCACCCATTCTTACCCTCCTTTTCGGAGTTGTCCCACTGCTCCCTAAGAAGATTAAGAAGATATTTTTGGTTTACATTTGGAAGAGAATCTCAAGGCATTCGTTTCAGGGATTCATCCAGCATCCAGGAACCTGGAGTCTGAGAATTTGAAATTCTGCCAGCATTTCCCCACATTTGATCAGGATTTGTCTATGGAATATTCAATCCAAGGGCATGAACGTGGTCTTAGTTTCTTCTTCTGAATGCTTACAAACCACCCAGTTTGTAGGGCACGTGCCTTTTCCCCCTTCCATTTTATTAGGAGCTTCCACAGCTATCATAACATTCCACAGTTCAATCACATCAAGGGGTATTATACAATTGCCACCACAATCAGTA